CCCGCGCCCCTCAAAACACATGCAAACGTTCAGTTGTCGTGCACATGCCAGTTTGAACAAGTGAATATAATATTGGTAAGTATTAAACAATTAACAGAGAGCATTTCAAGTTAATTATCATAAAGTGTTGTCTTGTTTTGATCAACATGAATTGAATATCGTTTTTCATCGGTTGATTCATAAACTGGTGAAGTCATGGTTTTAGCTTTCTCTTGTAGTATCTATTAATAAAATAAAACAAGAACAAGAACAATGGAAAAGTGATCAAACACGTTTTTGCTCACTGATGATGATTGTTGATAGATTGAGTTTATTTTCTGTTCATTCGTTTTGAAAAATAATTTTTCGCGATTTAAATCATCAAATGTTAAACGAATTATTTTTATTTTATTCAAAGGAAATGATACATGCGACACCTTAGAAATATCTTCCTTATTGTTATTCGATAGTTTCGATGAAAAACTTAAGATTGCTGATGAATGTGAGCTGTCTAAAAATAATTGATTGCTTATTTTTAAGTTGATTTAAATTAAAAAGTTCAACCTGGCACTGTTGAAGTTTTTCTCGTTTGCGTTCTTGTATCAAAAATTAGCCGATCGACTTGTATTATTGGTCCGTTGTTCTTTTTAAGCATTATTCAATATACAAGAAACAAACAAGAATGAAAAAAAAAGAATAGGCCAAAATTTCTATTAAAATTAGAACATCTGTTACACTATTATCTCAAAGCATAATAAAATTATAAAAGAGAAATAAATGACAAAAAGGGGATCTGCCCCGGGTGAGGATCGAACTCACGGCCTTCAGATTATGAGACTGACGCTCTACCGACTGAGCCACCGCGGCAAAATTAACAGAAGAAACATTCATATTTATTCATGATAAAACTAGTATTAACTATTATAAACTTGAGTTATACAGGAATTACTATTCAATATTTTCAATCTTATACTATTCTTATATTTATTTCAAAGGATTTTCTGTCAAAATATCCATACTGTTTGAAAGAAAAAATAAATAAATATGAGCGTTAGAGATGTATCAATAAAAGAAAGTTTCATAAATATATTAATCAACTGAAGAAATCTTCATCATATATCATTTATTTTGAGGATATGCGTAGAAGACCTAGTAAGTTTTAAATATGATGAATTAGAAGTATCAACCAACCATTGGACAGCATCTGTTGAAAATTATGTTTTGTTTTTGTTGGATTTAAATCGAAAGAACATTCCTCTTTCATAATGATGTACATTTAAATGTTCTCTACGCCGACTATTTCATTTGAATAATTATTTGATATCGATAAATCTTTGTCGAAAATAGAAAAAATATTATTTTATTTTGTCGTTCAAAGATGATACCTCTGAAAGAAATCTACTAGACTAATGTTTTGCTCGTAGTTACATCAAATTATAACTATTACTGTCGAAAAATTTTCTTCTTTCAGATCATAGATCATAGATGATATATCTACTAAAGTTTCTTGACAATTCAATGAAATCTACATTTCAAATCTTTCTTTTCTTTTCTTCACTTCTGTTGCAGAAACAGACATTTTTCAGAAGTCGAGCAGTATTTCACATAAAACCATATATACATAATACGAGCTCATCTTCATATTCATTCGACACACGATTTCACTCGTAAACAATTAACTACAAAAAGTCGAAAATCTTATGATTCGTTCAGTGTTATATTATATGTCCTGTTTTCAGTATATCCTTTCATGTTGTTTGAATCATCTTACTTTACGAACAATAATATTAAACTCAAGTTTATACGACAAAACATAATAACAATATGCCTAAAGTGAAAGACAGTCGATGAAGAACTCGTTATAATTAATTAATTAATTAACTTTTTATTCTGAAATATTTATTTAATTAGACTAAAGTTCGAAATTACTAAAATAATTTCTGAGAATAGCGAAACTAAAATTGAATCTGCTAAATTATATGGATTCTTCGATATTTCTCCGATTCAAGTTTATGTCGATAAGCTTCTAGAATAGTGTACAAGTGATTGTGGTTGAAATAATCCAGTAGAAGCACGTGCAACATAATCAACACGATATCTTTTATTTAATTCTATGACATCAACTAGTTGATTAAGATCAAAAACTCTTTCTATTTGCCCATCAATGACCCATGTATGGCCGTATTCATCATGAACTAAATTACATACATGAAGGAAATCTCTAGGATTTATTCCATTTGATTTCACTATTCCTTGAATTACATATCTAGAAATATAATTGAGAAAAGAGAAAATCTACAGAAATTCATTGAAACAATTAAATTTAAACCTATGGTTAGGAGTAAGATTTTCACGTATTATATCTGTAAAATTCATAGATGAGTATCGTTTCGAATCAGCATTTAAATATTCCATATTACTTATATAAGAAATCCATTGTGTTTGCATATTACAAGTGTTTACAAAGTAATGTTGTAATTTATTATGATTGATTTGTTGATCAAATAAACTCTGTAAATTAAGATCTACAGCATTCGTACAAGGAACACAATTTCGATAAAATATTGGTTCTCCTGAACGTGGATTAATAATCCATTTTCGAAAATTTGCTACACAATTTATGTATCTATTATGAATGTGTTGTGCAATATAATCAAATAATTCTTTTCTATGTTCAATTTGACTACTTTGATATAAACGTTTTAATTTCATTTTATCTGAAATTGTGTAATCTTGTACAACGATACCGGGTGGAATATCGCCGACGAGTACTTTATCTAATGAAAAATATTTCATTTCTCGATTTATATCTGATAGTTCACTCATTGGTAAAGCTATTTGTTCAAAATTTTCATCATCGTATTTCTCAGATACTGAATTGTCTAATGATGAAGGCACGTAAGCATCATCTCTAGTAGCTTCTTCAAGTTCTAACTCTAATAAATAATTTGTCATGACTGATAGTTCTTGTTCATTAGTCGTATCTAATGAATTATCCTTTAAGTCAATTAATCGGTGTTCGTTATCATTAATTGCTTCATCAAGTTGCTCCTCTAAATGACCACTTGTAGAATCTAATAAAACAGGTTCAGCATCGTTCGGTGGTTCTTCTTTTTCTTCAATTAACTGATCATTTTTAGAGTTTTCAAATGAAGAACCAGTTATATTACCTGTTTGAATTTTATTTAATAACAAAAGTAAATAGAAAAACAAAATGAAACAAACAATAGACATAATCAAAAAAATCAATGGAAATATATAAAAATATATGAAATAAAGCGCCGATGTTTTGTTTTCGAATAATCGAGAATAATAAGTTAAAAATAATCTCTTTTTTTTATTAATTTCCTAATACAGTTATTTTTCTTTAATTAGTATATCACGTTCGCTTTTGAGAGTGATCAATATTTCTTGAAACTCACAGCCTTTAAAATAAATAAAAATAGAAAATATCTTTATTTGATCATCGCTGATCGCATATTCGAGCTAAATACATTTCAATGTTATTCAACAACTTTCTAAGCAACTATTGAAACGACAAGCTCAACCAGCATGATCTGATAGTATGAAGAAAAGAAATCGAATAGAAGGATCAAAAGACTTTTCAAACTTTGTAAATTGTTGATAACGATTAGTTAAATTAGATGTATAGTAAAAATACTATAGTAAACCTATCCGAATAAGTAGTTGTTGAAGTGAGCGAGTATCAACATGTCACTAACTAACCATTTTCCATATTGACACTTGACTTTGACTAAATTCAAGGTCAGTATGATTCTGATTCATTGAGGCTTCTGCCGATTTTATTAACATAAATTAATATCTAGCTTATCAATTTGATTCAACGGTTATAAAGATTTATTACTCAAAATGATGTAATCACGTGAAAATAGGATTCTGTCAGTTAGTTAATGCATTCATTGGTTCAAATGACACTATTGGGGATTGGTTTTTAAAGACTGCTACTATAGTTTCATATCAGAAGGACAATGTGATGCACAAAATGGTGGCAACATTTTCTCTCGGAAAACTTCTTTGACGTACAATTATAAAAACGCAAGCTATATTTGCTTTAACGATATAGATCGACTCTATGCAGGGCGAAGGCCTTTTCTACATGATGGAATAGATATATTTCACTTGAATTAAATGAACGATATTGATGTTGAACGTTCGATATATTTTTCTTTTTCTTTTGTAGAATTTTACATCTGATTTAAGTTTAATTTTCTATATAAATCATAATTGACAAAAAATACTGTTGCCGTTCCTTCCGCCCGTTGATAGGACAAAACAAGCTTGGTGAATTATTTGTTGTCACTCATATCTTGTCTTCTTGAACAACATACAGTTATTTTATTCACTGGCCACATCATTTTTGTTGACTTTCATAAAAATAGAACAATGTTGCTTTATTCACTAGAGTATTCTCATCAAAAACCTACTCGTACATTAAAATGAAGTTGTCTGAAATAAAATATCTTTTATTCTAATTACTTTATATATTCAAATAATATAAAAATAGCTAATGTGATGAGTAATCGGCAGACATTATTTATTTACAACTGATGAATGATGATCTACTACAAAGTAAAAGTAATTAGAGCACGATCATAAATTATAATGAAGACCGATAGAAGTATGTATTGAGAATATAGCACATAATTATAAAGCCCTACCTTGATTTTACTAACCTTTCTTTCCTTTTTTTAAATATATAAGACTCTTGACTTACAGCTATTCAGAAGTGCCCTTTTTTCGAAATAGATTGAATTTGATAAACATGATCAAAACTTTATTGATTAGCTTTAAGTTTGAAATAACAACTTCTTCGTTCTGATTATGACAATGAATTTTTGTTTGCAAAATAAAATTTTGTGTCCTTGCCAATATTTTAGTGTTTGCCATAAGTCTAGACTGACTGCTTTCTAGCTTGGAGACGTAGCCACACGTAAGTTTCATTTCGTTGTTTGTGTTTCAAATAGTACAGTATATATTTTTCTTTTTGGTCATTGCTTTTCTTCACTGAAATTAGCCGATTCATGAAACATGATGTATACGAACTTCAAAGTATACGAGAAAGAAAAAAAGACACTTAAGACAAGTAACTGTTGAATGAGTAGACATCAGGTAAAAAAAGAAGCAAATGAACACAAGGAATTGGCACGGAATCCTTTTAATACGAGAAAACACAAAAAGATTTAACAATTTGAGTTTTTCATAACGTAAGAAAGGAGGACTTCATTCATTCATAGATAATACCATATTTGATGATATTCCAAACACATGCAAGGTTTCAACAAGTGACAGCTTTAGCAGATTGTCTCTATTCATGCTTGTTGAATAAAATTGATCGAGTTGAAATAGAAAATATGCTTCAGAATTTGAAAAAAAAGAAATTTTAAGATAATTTCAACATGCAAAAACTAATCGTAAATTTATGATTTTTATCAACTGACCTGAAAGAATATGTTGCAAAATGAGTTTGATTAAAACTCCAACATCCAGTATAATGTTGCATATCAGATCGTGCGATTTATCCCTATTCAAATTGAAATGAGATTGTACTATAATTATCTGAACACTCATAGATCATTTTGATATTTCGTCGATAAAAAATGCAATGGTATTGCCTTGTTTCAATACACATTTTCTACTAGATTATAGAATCATGATTTTTAAAAGATCTTATAGATAGATACACTTACATTTTGTCGCTGTAAAGAAGACACAATGTATCAAATCACACAAATTATAAAAGGAAAGTGCTAGGGTACATCTCAATCACCCGACTTTCTCTGTTTTCACTACTATTGAATAGGTCGGCACAGTTTATTTTATTACCATTAGATGTATTGATTTGAGAAGTCCAATATAAATCTTATAACGAAGTCGTTTATTTTTATCGCTCTACGAATCCTATCAATCACATTCGCTGAATCAATCAGACCAAGAGAGGCTTTTAGCAGAGTTGCGGTTGTGAGCGCTTTATTTACTCAATGGCGCAAATAAACTTGTATTAACCTGCTCTAATATGAACAGTCTGCGAAGAAGCCTAGAGCAAATGTGAAATTCGATAGTCGTTTAGAAGTAGAAAAATCATACTAATTTAAAATAGATCGTTGTAAAGCTGTAAAGTAAAGCCTGCGTAAATGTTTATCAAATTATAAGAAGAACAACTATAAGAAAAAATAATAAGAAAAGACTGTTTGAAATCGATGTTTTTTGCAATTTTTTACAACCAAGTCAAATATTTGCTTTTCTAATTGAACAGGAAAAAACAGCAGTTTAAGGATGCGGATAGTAAAATATACAGAAATATAGGAAATTATAATAGCATCAAAGTTAAAAGTTCCATTCAGTAAAACAACCACTTTCTACAGTTAAAGCTTTAACCAGCTAAATAAAATATGTCATGACTCTTTCATTAGATCCAAACGTATTTGAATAGTATTGAAAATATTTGACTCCTATTCTAGTCTTACTCAAAATATGATTAGCTTTACTTCGATTCGTGGTAATCCCCCCCCTCCC